TCAGAAACTTCATTTCCAGAGCCTGAACTTAGTCGAAAGCAATAGCTTTCTCTCCTTACCGCAACGCGTGACCACGCGTCGCACAACTTACGCTCCAATCCTATCGAACTTGGATGCGGAGTCTTGCCTCATCATATTTCCTCTCCACTGTCACCTCTTAATGAGCCACGACAACTTCTCGAAGTAGAAATGCTTTAGTCGACAAGCGCAGGTGGCCTTCAGACTTTCATGCAAGAGGAGCAATTGCAACTGTAACTCAATGGCGAATATGTGCACACATCGATAGTTTTCGATTGATACTGTTTGCGCTGAGCCGAGATATTCTACCTCAAGAGTAGGGTCAAAAACTGACATTAATTCCGGGCAATCTAACAGTCGAAATGGCAAGTTTTACCGAAACCTTCATCTTTCAGAATTCAAGTTTTTGAGCCAAAACTTTCCAAACTTCTCAGAATTTTCCTAACCCACGCCTTTCGGGAACAGGCCACCTCCTCATTTAACTCTGCCATACAAATCGTTGCCCTTGAATCTCGAATGTGTGTAGCTTTTTTGGAAGTGAGGTATTACAATAAAGCATGTGTGCAGCATAAAAGTACGTGCACCTGTGCAAGCAGGAGCTCGTTTCCAAAATAAGTTACCATGTGCCTTTTTCGCAGTCGAACGTGTGCTAGTTGTCTATGCTGCGCCTCCGACCGTACTCCGCGCACCAATTTGTTGACAATTGTAGGCAGGGCCGGACGATAGTGCTTACGGTGGTTTGCGCCACGAATCAAACAAAAATGCGGGAATCCCTCGCGCTGCACCTAGGTTTTTCGCTAGTTGGGCACTAATTGGCACCCCCTCTGTCGTGGTTCGGGAGCGGTTGCCCTCCTAACCCTCCAACACGACGCATCGAGGTGGTTCGGGGCCCTCGTGGCCTTTCCCAGGCACACGTCATCCTACGGGTCCTTCCCGGGGACCATGCTGGTTTCCCTCCCAGCATGGCCTCCGCTCCCCGGGGCATCACGGGTTCCTAACCCAGGGAAGGGGGGTTTAAGGGTCGCGGTAAGCGGTAACCCGCGGGGGCAAGGCCCACCGTCGGCCCGGGCTTTCCCAGCCCAAGGGCCGAGGGCTCCCTTGCCCCGGCTAGCAACCCCACAACATAACAGCACAAGAAAAGCCTACTGCGCCTTAGTCGGGCCCCTGCCCTGGCGCTCCCCAAACTACAACCCTACTACAACAACTACACTATAACATACAACTAACTTATACGAATACACGATAAATCATTCTTATTGGCGATTATTGGCGGCAACAAGTTGACGACCTATTCTTCTCATCCTCTGCCGGGCTTGGAGGTACCAAGCCATCGCGTCGTCCATCCATCGGGTCGGTCGGCAGCGTCCATCCGGTGTGCGGACGCTGGCTTGCCAGCGCTCCGACAGGACGGGACAGTATGCCGGACCATACTGCCGAGTGCCAGTGGCACTCCGAGCCGTCCAGCTTCCTCGCGTTGCCCGGCACAACGCTCCTCCCGGAGGGAGCGAAGTGCGCCGACTGGCAGAGGCGGCTCGCTTAAGTAGTCCCGGCTGGAGGCGGGACCGGAGGCGGAGCATGCCCCTATAGTCGGTGCATGCAACGCCACGGCGCCTGCTGCACAGCAGTGCCCAAGCGCGCGGTGCGCCCGGGACCACAGTCGCGAACCGCGACACCCTCCCACCCCCCCCCCCTCAACTCTATCTTGTCGTAATCCCACGCTTTAACATGCAATAAACATATTTGCATTTTATTGATCCGAAGAGTTATTAGCAGAATAAAGGTTTTTTTGCAGTCAACCGATGCAGAAGAGGACCTATCGAGATTTCGAGGCGATACAGGGGAAAGTGAGCTATTAAGAATTCAAAATGTGGAACCCCTCAACACATCTATAATGCGCTAAAAGATGAACAGGCCACTTTCTCTCATTCGAAAAAGTTTCTGGTAATAATCCCGCTTTTCAAGGAATAAATGAGACGGAATCGTGGAACACCCATGAAAGACGACGACGGCCGACTTCTACGGAAACGAACCTGATAACGAACCCATTCCAACTCTACATAGGCATAATGACAGCAGCAGAAGCAGAAAAGGTAATTTCGCTCCAGGAATCGGCTTCTGCCTATTTGTTCTAAATTTCAACTGAAGGACGGGAGACGGTGATGTGAAAACAAGTGAAGCCCTCATGCACATTGCCCAAGGACGGATCGCTGCCAACTGAGCATTCCACTTCCTTGGAATTGGTTGACTATACAGGAATCCCCAGAATGAGCGAAACACTGACTGGGATGACGGCTGGTCCTCTCCAATTTTGGCATGTAGGCGAAATAGCATTCAAATGATAGCGCCATTCCGATTGGACTATATGGCGGTTTTGAAACCGACTCAGGAACGGTAAATGCTCCAGCCCTTATCCTTATTGTGACTCACTAATGATCACGGTATATGGACACTAGGTGTCAAAATTATCTCTACGCTCCACAAAATCCGACCCGTAGATAACCCAAACTACCAATTTCACCGTTGAGAGCAGAAGACCATGGAAAGGCGTATTCGAAGGTTCTCGCATTGGGAGAATCGTCCACACGAGCCGCATGATCCTACCCAGCCGTTCACTTGGTAGCTTCTTACCCATATTCCACGATAAATAGGGGGAATTTTATTACGCTAAAAATCTGCAAACTGAGATAAACTGAAAATTACTCTGTGAATTCCCTTGGCGAACTGTCACAAATGTTGACAAGAGGACCTTTCCGTTTGCTTCTTGGATGCCGGCACTAGGAAATTTTTCGGCGTTCACACTGTCATATTTAACCTATGATAGGCACGAGATGTTACACTGCATTTTTTTGATTGCATCCTAATCTACCATGCTGAAGAGTCTTTCTCTGCTCTTCAATTTTCCAAATTCGGACCTACGACGCGTCAACTCGCGCCTTACTATGCACCTCATTCCATGCTCCTTAGCTCCGCCTAGGTGTCTGTGAAGTGTCCAAAAGCGATTTTCGAATGCTTGTTTCTGTTCGGAAAGTGAGTTTCCATTCATACGACTTTGTATGATGCAGGTAATGATCACACATGCCGCGTCAGTCCCGCACGCGGCAAAGGAATAGCCGGCGCCAGTTCCGTGCACGATTCTTTTAAGCTTCCAATTAGATAAACAGATTTTTTCACTTTCAGCTGGTCCCCGAACCTACTACTTTCCATCTCTACCACCAAATAGCGACAACACTGGAAGAAATGCGCAGCGACTCACTTCACGCCGAATTCGCCGAAGCGTGCAACCTACAGTCCATTGTTCATTATCACCGAACATCAGGAGACTAACCCGTGCTCATTTTCACTTTAAAATTACGTACTTATATACCTAAATGGCCCAAGCCGCCTGCCCATTATAAGCTACGTAATACTGGTCTATACTTGACCAACTTGCCACACCGTAGGAGCTAGAGAAAACTCACAGACAAATTAAGAAAGGTTACCAAGTCAAAGGTTGTATCACAGCCACGACCCGGCCTAAGAAAATCAAGGGGTAACCCGACAAGAAGACCATCGCGAGGAACAAACGATTCATTGGAAAGTCGCACTCTACCTAGTGATCTACTCGTCAATTAAATAATATCAGGTACCACTGTACGTCATACAGTCAATGTCGTCAGGGAATCCCGACAGGGGGGTCGTACTCTTGGGGTCAGTAACAGAAGTGGTATCATGGTGCAGATAGGTAATAGGGTATAGCGCAGCAGAAAATGAAAACATCCGAAAAAAACATGATATTAAATTTTCTTTGCAGGTTCAGTCGCTCCATTCCTCCACCTTCATGAGAAGGGCGTATTTGAAGGCAGTACAAAGAATGAAAGTGCATCCCCGCAAAGAAGAGTGCCACATGTGCGCACGCGCTGCAAAGGCACCTCCTCCGCCTATCACTCGCTCCTTCTCCCTTAATACCTCGCTGAGAATGACGCTGTTGTTAGGGACCCTGTCGGAAAAACGACAACCGTGAAGAAAAAGCGCTGGGCAAATGAAGTTGTTTTTTAGGTTACAGGAATAGCACAACACACTATGTCTACTACAATACAGTTTCGTTCGAAGGTCCCCATCATATAACACCTTTCAATCGATTCTGCAACTGTGAGTGGAGGAGGGATGCATGGCTTATACCAATACCAAATCGGATGATGACGATTGCTCCTATTCTTATTGTTTGCGTTCAAAGATATTGTTCTAGACACATTCCGAGTGTTGCCAACGAGTCACACTTGCAATGGTGAATGAGGGAGCGGGTTTCCAGGTGGCCGGATCCGACCTCGATAGATCCTCGACGCAATTATCTCTTCAACCAAAAAGCTGTAGAAGAAAACTAAACAGACCATCAGGAAGCGCGAACCTTCCGCTTTCCAAAACCTTCCCTTTCCAGGATCTTACAATATAAGAGATATATTGCTCTTGAAGTGGCAAAAACTCGCGTGAAAATTTGGGCCTCCTCGACATTTACTCGACGAAATTTGACAGACCCTATCTTTCTGCAAGGAAGGCTTCCAGAGCAATTTCGATGCTTGTTGGAAACGCGAAATCCAGCTCTATCTAACTCTACCTCAAGCTGCTTCAAAGGTTGTGAAATGGAGGAATGCAACCTTTTCATCGAGGGTGTAGATTCGGACGTTTTTTTTTGAAATTTCGGCAAATCTGACCCAGTGACAATCGCGCCGCAGCTGCCGTTGAATCGGCCTTTGATACACTCGGCTGTTTTGATATACTCAAGCAAGAATCAAGATTGAATCGCAACCCCGTGTCTTCAGGATTTCTGTGCGTTTCTGAACGAACCTCGCCTTGAGGTCACACAAAGTTAATGCCTCTTTCCTCGAGTCGATATTTCAGTATGTACACAAAAGTATGCAGCGATGGAAGACGTGCATAGATGACAAGATGAAGCGTCCTTAGCATTATTTTGCAGAATTTTTTTTGATTTGTTTTGCAGGATTTATTTTAATTGAATTAATGCTCTGTTTAAGGATCGTGCGATCTCATTTGGGGGGGGGGCTCGTACCTCTGTCACCAACGTACCTCGAACAATTTCACCGCCTCACGTCATACATCGCGCATCATGCGCTGCGGCTCGTCCGCTGACCCTAACTTCTTGCCGCTCGACAGGCCTCCTGTCGGGTACCCAAACCAGAGCGAGCGGTAACGCTGTGCTGTAATCGGAACGCATATATGACACATTGACAATCAGCGCTTGCAGACACTACAGAATCAGAGAGAACGACACAATACCAATAACCACCTTATGCTGTGGACATACCTAACGTCAATCAACCATGCTTTTTCACAATCGCTGAATTGATACGATTCTACAGGTACGGAAACTGCTAACTTTAAGATCAAGTTTTTTTAACACGTTGACGACAGCGTGACGCGGTAACGCGTCCCACTTTGCGCACCTCGTGGGACATTGTGACGCGGTAACGCGTCCCACCCAAGTCATCCCTTTTTCTTGCGCTTGCGCGACTTATTCCTAAGGTCTTTGTACTCATTCTATAGGTCATACATTAGCATACTTAAAACCACATGGCTCACAGAAAGGCCAAATATTCTTTCAGAGGTTTTCCAGACACTTCGCATTGCGAAGCGCGAAAATGTCGCTTTCTGTCCTAAGTAGCCACACCCCTCTTCAACGCCTGCCCGCGGCGAGCGCGGACGCATCGGTAGTGCTCTTGCACAGTTCGCGCACCTCTTTAGGGCAGCTTTAAAGCAGCCACCGCGACAACGGGAGCACTTGCGGGATTGAATTTGATTGAGTCATACTTCCAAAAAGTATTTAGTCGTCCCAAGAGTGAGTGTGAAAGCTAAATATTTGTAACTGAAAGCCAAGTGGAATTTCGACATCACTTGAAGCAACACTCCAGATCGAAGTTGTGTGACCATAGCGTTTGATAATGAAGTTGTTGATGCCGAATTGACTAAAAAGAAAAGTAACAAAGGAAACGTCGATGAAGCGGAAAACAAAAATCACCCTTGAAAGGGAAAGGAACGGGGTCAGACGAGTTGGATGAGCTCGCCTGCTCCATACCTCCACTAACCCGGGCCATTTGAATTAGCCGCTAAGCCGTAAT